TGTCACCACCCACATACAGTCTGTAGTATGACAGGCGTCAGCTCAAAGCATGGAGTGTTAGTATTAGAGAGTACTGCAGTACCCATTTGGTTGTGACTGTCTGAATGATTCTTTCATCACCCACACCCCATTATTGTACACAATAAAATACATTTAGAATAAATATAAGAAATACACCAGTGCACAAGTGTCAAACTGACCTCGAACCCTCAAACTGTTCTCCTTCCCCAACTCTCTCTCCTCACTCTCCACCCTCAGGTCCAGTGGTCCAGCTGTAACATCTTCTCCACCCAGGATCATGCTGCTTCTGCCATCGCCAAGGCTGGCATTCCAGGTAACACTAGAGAAGCACATAATTGGTAAAAGATTAAAAAAAAAAAAAAAATCACTTTTTATTCTCAAGTCAAGCTCAGACTAGCACTGAAAACTACAGGTATTAGTACTAAAGGGTAACTCCTGTATTTTCACTATATGTAGCCTGTAGTTGCAGTTCATGTCCAGCAGGTGGTGATATGGTGACCTTTAGAATTGACGTGTGTGTCTGTCTGTCTCTGTAGTGTACGCATGGAAGGGTGAGACGGACGAAGAGTATGTGTGGTGCATTGAACAGACCATTTACTTCAAGGACGGTCAGCCCCTCAACATGATCCTGGATGATGGTGGAGACCTCACCAACCTGGTCCACCAGAAATACCCCAAGCTGTTGGCAGGTCAGCACACTCACTCACATACATAGCCCTGTGAAAATATACTTTTTATAGCTGATGACCAAATGGACAAATGTCTGAAGGAGACACGTGTCGTTTTCATGAGGTGAACTTTGTCCTCAGTAGGCTTGTGCAAAATCATATAGCGTGCGATTAAACGTCAGATAAACTGTTCCCGGGAAATATTTTCCATTTTGTGACTATTATGATTAGTGCCATGTTATTAGGGTTGCCATCTGTCCCTTTAAAAAAAAAAAAAAAAAAAAAAATCTCCCCCTGATCTAAAAAGGACACACTTTGTCCCATAATACCACGAGAATAAAAAAAAAAATAGCCTGTAAATTTGCCAATGGAAATAATGAATAACAGAGTTGGCATATCGCATTGCTAAAGATGGGCTGCTGCTGCGCCACCTTGTGGAAAAGGATGGTTTCCAACAACTAATGAGAACAGTAGACCCAGAGATACAGATTGTCTGGAAAACATTTCTTACTTATGTTCATACCTGTAATGAATGAGGAAACAAGGGAGAGGTAAGAACAAACCTCGTCTTCAGTTTTTCAGAGTTGCGCAAACACGCATGTTTGTAATATTTCAGCGAGTGAGAACATGACATTCCAGTCGCAGCTTAATTTACAGGCACGAACTTGAAATAATCACTTTTGTGATTTTTTTTTTTTTTTTTTTCTGAACCTGTTTGGTGCAACAATAGTCATCAATAAACTTTTAATTGTTTACACATTTCAAACACGTAGTCACTAATCACATCTCAACTATTTTAACCAATTACGAGAAAGAGGTTACGTTGACTGCTTGATTTGTAAGTATTAATTTAGAACACGAGGTAAGTGATTTAGAGTCAAACATGAAAGTGCTATTGTGAGTCTATTCCAGTGTTTCCCAACTTTTTTTTGAGCCATTTGACACGTACGTATATCATCAGAAAAATAAATGACCTCATAATTGACTAAAAATCTTGTCCTGTTTAGTTGAAGACGACGCCGATATACTGGCAGGAATTGAAGAAAGACGCAAAGATCTTCTTTAAAAGTTGATCTTTGTTTTCATCTGCTGCCACTGAGCGGAAGAAATATTTTATTGGTTTCCCTTTATGCTTTGCAAAGAAAAATTACATATTAATTGTTATTGGCAATATATCATACATTTGTTGCCAATATCAATCAAGTCCATTCATGTTGGTGTCATTTGCTCAACTACTGCCCCTCGAGGCGTTGCAGTCCAACTGTTGAGTGTTGCAGCTGTGTCATGAGGGGCAGAGAGAGAGAGCGGTGGTGGTCTGCACTGAGACTCTGACGACACCGAGGGCTCGGAGTGATTTTGTCACCACCCACATACAGTCTGTAGTATGACAGGCGTCAGCTCCAAGCATGGAGTGTTAGTATTAGAGAGTAATGCAGTACCCATTTGGTCGTGACTGTCTGAATGATGAAGAGTCTGTAGTATGACAGGCATCAGGTCGGAGCAGGGAGTGTTAGTATTAGAGAGTAATGCAGTACCCATTTGGTCGTGACTGTCTGAATGATGAAGAGTCTGTAGTATGACAGGCATCAGGTCGGAGCAGGGAGTGTTAGTATTAGAGAGTAATGCAGTACCCATTTGGTCGTGACTGTCTGAATGATGAAGAGTCTGTAGTATGACAGGCGTCAGCTCAAAGCATGGAGTGTTAGTATTAGAGAGTAATGCAGTACCCATTTGGTCGTGACTGTCTGAATGATGAAGAGTCTGTAGTATGACAGGCATCAGGTCGGAGCATGGAGTGAATGTTCTTAGTTCCAGGTTAACGCCGTTTCCTCGTGTCCTCAGGTATCCGCGGTCTGTCGGAGGAGACCACCACGGGTGTCCACAACCTGTACAAGATGATGAAGAAGGGAGAGCTGAAGGTTCCCGCCATCAACGTCAACGACTCCGTCACCAAGGTAACAGTGCTGACATCCTGGAGGGAAGAGAACGATTTATTCGTTTATTTTTTTTTATCCTCATCGGTGAAGAACAGCAGAAGTATTTTTAGCCTTTAAAGTTTGATCAGCACGGCAGTTGACTGAACTGAACCAACCGATCAGTACTAGGGATGTACAGTGTATATCTCTATATAGCTGTTCTAGTTTCGCTCCCTCAGTACATCGCAGAATTTTTTTTTTATTCCGATCTCGCAAAATTTCCGCTCCATCGTGGGAAAAAAAAGTCCCCCCAAAACAACCTAAAAGACATTATGAAAAATTATACATATATCACTGGTAGCTTTGTTTACCTAGACGTGGTTGTACGCAGCGTACTATTGGCTAATGCAATGCGTACTCGGTGTACTATTGGCTGATTCAACATGCTCTTCTGTTACTCGCGCAACTATCGCGATAGGAGAGGGATCACTGTAATGATAAATTGTACATTTAAGCGTAAGGAGTAGGCTGCGTTATCTCAAAGTCACTGGTCGTACCATGAGACTACACATTCTAGTACAATAGGAGGCGCTATGCACCTAAAACCGTTGGTTGTGACCCGCTATTAAACGAAGACAGGTCCCTAGGTAGACTAAGGGACATTCAGGTGTTGAAACAGAATGTCGGTCCCAAGTCCGGTCACAGCAGAAGTCCCTCCCCGGCTCTAGGATCAGCCAGTGTGGACTGCTGCTGCTAAATGCTGCCGGCTCACAGGGGCGATGGTGGAGGGCTGGTAAAGATGGCGGCGCTCTGTGAGGATGGGAGATATGGCTTAAAGTATGGGCAGCAGAGCGATGACAGAGTCACCGTGTTGCACGTCAAACTGACCGAGACGGCGCTGAAAGCCATAGAGAGCTACCAGAATGGTCGGGTGAGTTAAAGTACCTCTAAATTTGGTGTAAATTGCAAAACATTTGTAAAAAAGTCCTGTAGTCACACCGTCTAAAGTGAGCTGTAGGAGCTCAACTGCCACGCACTGCTAACGCTATAAAAGTTAGCTCAGCTATCGACGAGGCGACGTCCAGCTGTTTATATTTTAATAATACTTTTGTGACAATGAATTTAAGAATGTGGGGAACATAAAAGAGGTTCAGGACAAGTTTTTAGTTTTGGTTCTATCAACTGACAGTAGTGAGTAAACCTTTTAAAGCTGCAGATGTAAGTTAGACACTAAGGTTAGCCAGCGTTAGCACTGAGACACTGGCTGCTGTTCTAGACAAGACATTCTTGTCTTGTTATTGTCAAACTTTAGCCGATTTAGAAAAGAAGTACTTTCAGACAACTAATCTAAATTTACAAATCACGTAACATAATTAAAGTTGATTTCGACGAGCTTGTATGTTGATGTCTGTTAGACATTAAACGGGACAAGTTCGGGCAATTTTTAGTGAAACAAGTTATTATCGTGGGAAGACCTTCCACAGACACCGTGTTTTACAGTGTTTCTGTAAAGAGAGGAACTCTTTCCAGTCAAGACTTTTTTTCATCTTTAAAATATTGACAGTTAGCAGGGTAAATAAGACCAGACCAGTTTCCCTTTAATACGAGTAGATAAATTATGTTTCTGTGTAGAAATTTGCATTTTTTTTTTTTCTATTCCGTTATTTAAGATAACAATTTTATGACGTAAAAAGAATCTTTTTGACCAACTGTTTGTCTCGTCTTTCTGAAGAGTAAGTTCGACAACCTGTACGGCTGCAGGGAGAGTCTGATTGACGGCATCAAACGAGCCACCGACGTCATGATTGCCGGTAAGGTGGCAGTGGTGGCTGGTTACGGTGACGTGGGTAAAGGCTGCGTCCAGGCTCTGCGCGGCTTCGGCGCCCGCGTCATCGTCACAGAGGTCGACCCCATCAACGCCCTGCAGGCCGCCATGGAGGGTAGGTGGTGTCTTAGGTCTGGTCTGAAAGAGACGGTAGAACAAAAATGTTCTGCGTGTGACCACCTGACCTCTGCTCTGTCCCAGGTTATGAGGTCACAACCATGGAAGAGGCCTGTAAGGAAGGAAACATCTTTGTCACCACCACTGGCTGCAAGGACATCATCATGGGACAGTAAGTCACTGGACTGGACCGGACCGGTCCATACCGGATCTGAATGAACTTCTGTGTCTGACTATGCTTTTTTTTTTTTTTTTTTCTCTCCAAACTCGATGTCTCTCTTAGGCACTTTGAACAGATGAAGGACGACTCCATTGTCTGTAACATCGGTCACTTTGACTGTGAGATCGACATGAGCTGGCTGAACGAGAACGCTGCTGCCAAGGTCAACATCAAACCTCAGGTAATGGACCTCTGATCCTGGTTGCACCGCAGTGATTTCTCTGTTCTCACTCATTGAATTCTGACCTTGGATTCTCCCCCTCCTCCTCCTCCTCCTCCTCCTCCTCCTCAGCTGAAAAACAACCGCCACATCATCATCCTGGCCGAGGGCAGACTGGTCAACCTGGGCTGTGCCATGGGCCACCCATCCTTCGTCATGAGCAACTCCTTCACCAACCAGGTCAGAACTGGGCTGTTTAAAAAATTTTTTTTTTTTTTAAATAAAATAAAAACTCAGTCTGGCTTCTGTCCCCCTGACATTTGTGGCTCTCTCTTCTCTCCTGTAGGTGTTGGCTCAGATTGAGTTGTGGACAAACACTGATAAATATCCTGTCGGTGTTTACTTCTTACCCAAAAAGGTCAGTTTTTTTTGTCCTTCTTTTTCATGTTACACAGACAATTTAAGGTTTAATATATAAAATATGGCTTTATATTTAATGTAACAGCCATGAAGAAGTGTTGTCTTGAGGACAAACATGATGTTTCCGGTCAGTCTGAGCTGAGTCTTCATCAGTGAGTTAGTCCTGGAAAAGAAGTGCTCCTTTATTATGTAATATACTACACATAACAAAAGAGCTCTGGGGGAATAAACAAAGGTACTGCTGCTGTTACGGTGCAATGACTGTAACAAACCACAAGGTGTCATGAGAAACTCTCCCCCATACTCTAATGTATTTGGTACCTGGACAATGTCCTGCACTGTGAATTTTTTTTTTTTTTGTGATTTGTTACAACTACTAAGCTAACAATTTAAACAAAACCCTCAATATATCGTCATGCCTACAGTATCGCAATATATCGAATGTTAGCTCCTGTATTGCGATATGTATTTTTTTTTTTTTTTTTTTGAGATTTGTTACAACTACTAAGCTGACAATTTAAACAAAACCCTCAATATATCGTCATGCCTACAGTATCGCAATATATCGAATGTTAGCCCACTGTATTGCGATATGTATTGTTTCGCCAGATTTTTTTGCTGATGCACACCCCTATTACCTAGTCATGTGATTCATCCTGATTGGATTTTTTATTTTTTTTTATTTTTTATTACTTTTTAATTCTTTGAAAATATAATGGACAGACTATTGAAGTCCACTAAGACTAGTGGACCTCACTGTGGGTCCCGCCCCGTTATTTGAGAACTACTGACTTAGACCAAAAGATGTTGAGTTTATGCTTCAACAGAAAAACTGACTGTGTTTGTTCCCCTCTCAGTTGGATGAAGAAGTCGCAGCGGCGCATCTGGACAAACTGGGGGTGAAGTTGACCAAGCTGACAGAGAACCAGGCGCAGTACCTGGGTCTGCCTGTAGATGGGCCCTTCAAACCAGACCATTACCGCTACTAAGTTCATAGACTTCACTGTGAAGGAGGAAGTGTGGTGGGGGTGGGAGAGGGGGGTCCTGTTGGTGCAGCCCGCTGTCTTCGTCCAGATGAATCTCTGGACAAACATCTGAGGCCACATCAGTACCTGAATCCAGTATTTTCTACTTGACTGCTGTTGAACCAAATGATGGATGGAAAAAAAAAATAAAATAAAATAAAAATAACATTCAGAAATAAAATCAGCCAAAAAATCAGCTGTCTGCAAAAAAAAATATACCTGGAGTTAGTGCAGTTGTTGTCGTTGTTCAGAGAAGTCTTAACGGTTCAGATCTCTTGCCTTTTTATAGATGAGATAATATTTTCAGTTTGGACGATTCCCAGTCAATTCATGTCACGTTTTCCTCCGCCATCAAACTTCTCAGATCGGTTTGAACCACATCCTGCTGCTGTATCCATGTGTGTCAGTAGATTCCCTCTGCTTGGGAATCGAACGCTCATCCTTCATGACTCTGATTCTCTCTCTCTTTCCTTTTTTTTTTTATCTTTGGTCCTGAGAAAAGGAAAAGTCTTAATTGAAATTTTTCGGTGGCCTTCGATGTTTTAAATCACTCTGTGATTCTGCTCTTTGTTAGCACTTAAGACACAAACTGTACCGGGTCTGTTCAGACGCTGAACTGGGACTGTTCAGGGTCAGTACTGGTACGGTTGACCAGACTGACTACTGACCAGCCCTGATTGGCCAGAAGAATCACTGAATCTCTCATCAGAAATGTGGCTTTTTTTTGTCTGACTTTCTTTGATGATAATTGAGTTCTGGTTCTGCTGGAATCCAAATAGATGTTGTTTTGAACAGTTGTCCGATGTTAAAATTCAGGTTGTTGTTGGAGTAGTGATTATGCGGTGTCAGAATGACAAGGGAAAAAAATAAAAAATAATATTTAGATTCTGGACAAGGGAAAAAAATAAAAAATAATATGTAGATTCTGGTCGTTTTTTTTTTTAATTTTTTTAAATTTTTTATTTATTTTAAACCAGTGGAACATGTGGTCCAGTGTGATTTTCTGGACTGAATATTCCTGGTACTGGTGGTACTGGGTGTACACTGGGAGTGTGTGTGTTAAATCATGGGCACATATTTTCTTCGTCTGAACAGTAGGTGGCGGCATATCTTCGCTAATCTCTAGGTCGGCCTGTCTGGGGGGGAAAAAAAAAAAAAAATCACAGATGCATAGGTTTGATTTTTGGTAGTCGCGCTTTCACGTTGTCCATATGTGGCGCTGTGACGTCATTGTTCCCGGTGGATTTCCTGTTGTCATGTGAAAACATAAGTTACAGAGGTAAAAATCGAACTGACGCAATTGTTACGTAACCGATATCTGCTGGTGATCGGTTCCTGTTCCTTGCGTCTTTTCTTTGTTTTTTTTTTGGTTTTTTTGCTCTTTGATCTAGTCACATGAGGAGGTCGGACTTCATCTCTGATAGTGACTACTATCACATATGTTACAGCGGCTTCCTCCTCAAATCCATCTATTTACACCACTTTTTTGCTCACCTGCCTTGACTCACATATGAACTGAAGTGACACTTCAGTCCTAATCCATAGGGTTCAATATGTCTGTCCACTCTTTGCAGCTATACCCGCTTCTGGGAATGCTGTCCACAAAGTTTAGGAGAGTCTTTATGGGGAATTTTTGACCATTCTTCTAGAAGCGCATTTGCGATTCCACAAAGTTTAGGAGAGTCTTTATGGTAATGTTTGACCATTCTTCCTGAAGCGCATTTGCGATGTCGCACACTGATGTTGGACGAGAAGGCCTGGCTCTCAGTCTCTGCTCTAATTCATCCCAAAGGTGTTCTATCGGGTTGAGGTCAGGACAGTCAAGTTCATCCACATCTGACTCTGTCATCCATGTCTTTATGGACCCTTTGTTTGTGCACAGTCATGTTGGAAGAGGAAGGGGTCACTCAGTGGTAACTCGGCAGCTGGTGGTGGACTCGAACCTGAAACCTTCAGTACCTAATCTGTTTCCTTAACCAGCAAGCCACTACTGCCCGGTCTTGAAGTCTGTCATTAGGGAGAAAAAGGACATGACTTAATGTTAGGTTTGTTTCTACTTTCCTTAACAATCAGTCAGTTTAATGAGCTGGATTTCCACCACACTACTAACTACACTGCTGTCCTTCACTACTGTCCTAACCCTTTTTCTTCGTGCTTAAAGATCCAGTCATGAATTCTTACTGAGCGCTATTATTATACTACTATTATATTTTTATATATTATATATTATGTTTTCATCTGACAGCTCAGGAGAGAGAGTTCTCTGTGGCTGTAGAAACTCTGGCTCAGACTGAACAGGCTCTTAAAAAGCTGAACACGCTCGAGTCTAACGCACAGGTCAGTTTACACCAGTGTTTGCTTTGATTCTTAGTCTCAGTCGTTGTCTTTATTTCAGTTGTAACTAATTAAGTAATAGGTATTTTATTCAATGGAACTGTTTTATTTTTTTTGTTTAGTTTGAGCTGCCAAAATATCAAACATTATTTGACTGAACTTGTAATTTAATATTTATAAAACTCTAGCATTTTACTGAACATTATTTCTATTTCTATTCTATTCTATTCTATTGTATTCTATTCTATTCTATTCTATTATATTGTATATTATATTATATATAGTACCATGGAGTCTCAGACCTGGATCCATCCTCCAAAAATGCTACCAACCAGTCAATGAAATCAATTTTTTTTTTGTCCATATCCAGGACTATACATGAGAAACATGGCGATTCAGTTCATGGTTGCCTCGTTTGTTGTTTTAGTTTAGGGTGGAGGTCCATGGAGGTTTGTTTCATGTATTTATTTTTCCTATGGATGGCTTATTTTTACACATTTTTTTTTACCCGCATATCAGGAATTCTCTGGGGCGAGGGACAACTAATGGCCCGACGGGAGCCGTTTCCTTTTGTTTTGTTGGGCTGGGAAAATAAATACCCCCCCGCCCCCTTCCTCTATAAAAGTCCAAGGAGTTCAAAAACAGACTACACGTTGACCTGTGGTTTTCATTAAACGATTTCATGAAAAGCTCACCTCAGCCGTTGTAGATTTAAAATGATGATCGGAGAGAACACTAAAAACACTAAAAAAAACAACAAAAAAAAACAGGTTTGTTTTCTACAGGTGTTTCAGTCCAGTCTCGGTCCAGAACGGTTTTGGTCACCTTTGAACCTCCTGTGTTGGACCATGCGCCTGTGTAGCGGTCGTTTAGTCTCTCCAATGTACAGGTCCACATTGTCCAGCTTGTTCCTTGGCGTCTTGTCTTTGGGATGAACCCGTTTTTGTCTCAGGGTGTTGCCAGGTTTGAAACGTACGGGGACCTCCTTTAGTTTTTCCGAAACTCCAAACTCCGACGTTCCCTTTTCCTGTTGCCCTCCCTGTTTTTGGGCCTCTTTTTGTTAGTTTTGTTTGTTAAGAAGGCCCATCTGGAGCCATCGAAAGTAAAAAACTGTTTTTTGTCATATTTATTCATGTTGAAGTATCTTAATTAATCATGCTTAATGATTAATCTGATTATTATTATACTCTGTGATTGATCAAATTCTTTTTTGTTTTTGTTTTATTGTTTGACCGCCGTCAAATTTACAGATGGGATTTGAACCCTAAGATTAGTAGTAGCCTGGAAAACATCCGCGACTCAGTGAAATCCCTGATTCACAGAAATGAATTCTTTACAAAACCGTCACCTGCTCACAGTAGATCAAAACCAGCCGGAGCGGTAAAATAATAGGACAAGACGAATCATGAAGTACTTTAATGTTAATCCGATCTCCTTTGCAGCAAAGTACTCGTAGATTTTTTTTTTTTTAAAAACTGTCTCCAGAGAAGCAGGATAAAAAGCTTCACTCTCCAGGATCTTTTTTTTTTAAAGCTTCACTCTCCAGGATCTTTTTTTAAAAAAATCTTGACTAATTAGTTTCCGCAGCGGTGAAGGATCACAGCCCACGAAGCTTCGCAAGCTGGTTGTTTGAAGCGATCGCACGAGTGAACGCAAACCGCACGCGTTGACGAGTACGTGTGCTCGCAAACTGTACGCGTACACGTATGAGCACGCCTGTGCTGTGACCAGGCTGGGATGACCTGGTTGACCCCAAAAATCTGGTCTACAACGCGTTCCCAGGAAATAGTAAATTGATAGGTTAGTGTTGGTAGTATTAGTAGGTATATAGTATATATATGTAAATATATATAAATATATACTGAACAGTGGATGTTAATAGATTAGTAGGTTAGTAGTAGTAAATAGATATCTGGTCTACAACGCGTTCCCAGGAAACTCGGATAATTGAGTTAGGAAAGGAGACTTTCCTAACTCAATTATCCGAGTTTCCTGCCACCTGAGAACTTCTGCTCCCAGATGTGGAACGTTCTCACTCGGTTTTGTTAGAACATCTGGTGACAACCACCATGAAATGTTGCCCTGGTCTCTCCTCAAGGGTCGGAGCAGGTGTTTTTTAGTCCCCGACTCGAGTGATGTAGAACGTCTCTTCTACGTTTCTATCAAAATTGTAAAACGCATTCTATACTCGTAACATTACAGTTATGAATTTAATCGAATTCAATTTTTCTTGTCTTGATCTTGTGTCTTCACGATACCAACTTTCTGGTATCGGTACTAGTAACAAAGTGTGTTCGATATGTTTCAGTGCTTTTCAATACTTAAAATAAAAACAATATAGAGTAATAAATACTTGGCTTTTATAAAAATATTTTCATTAGCTATAACCTTAGTAGGACTAAGCTACAACTCATATATTAACGCATTTTACGCGTTAATTTAAAACATAACATTTCTTTGCATTTTTTTGGTATGTTTTAACTATATATATATATTTTTTTTTTTCAGTTTTCAGTTTCACTGAATGCACTTTTTTTTATATATATATATGGGTAAATATACAGGTGGTTGGTTACCTGTTGTTTCTTAAACTCTGGAATGGACTGGAATGGGATGTACAAATTATACGATAAAAATAGAATCGTATATATTTCAATTTTGACCTTAATTGAAATATATACCGTAAGATTTGGAATATACGTGCATTGATGCAAGTTGCGGGCTATTTTTACGTGTCTCAAAGTGGGAAATCAAGGTTGTTGTTGTTGTTTTTTTTTGTTGTTATTGCTATTTGTTAAAGGTGGATTCTTTCTTGAACTCACAACTGGTGCAGGGACCCAACATCGATCATGACTGCGGAAGAAGTACGGACTAGAATACGGCGCCGAAGGTTAGGGAGGTATCAAAATACTCCAGTGAATTTGTCTTGTTAGTGGTGTCACGCTTCGGCGAACTCAGCTGTCTGCAGCCAGCTCAGGTTGTCGACATAATCAAGGCAGTCTGGGAGGCATTCCAACCGCTCGTAAAGTTCTCCAGTCCTCCAGCTGCTTGTCCACGCCGTGGACATAATGATACAAGAACAACTGGCTTCCATTAGGAAGGTTTTGTGCACGGACCACTCAGTCGGTGCAGACGTCCTTCTGCTGCACGGGCGACCACGTGGTTTCTAGCTTCCAAGGGCTACTTTTAAAAACGATTGACATCGTGTAGTTATTAGTCACGTGAACAGAAAAATGGCGAAAGGTACTGAACTCCTTTCATTTAAAAATCTCTTCAGAAAGTCGAGTCGACCCCGAACCCCGAAATATTTGCAACTACTCGGAAGTTGGACTTTCTCATCTCTCAAGGTATCGCCAGTGTTAAATGCAGAAAAGAATTGACTTAAAAATGACTTAAAGGTGTTTCCAAACCAAAGGTTATGTCACGTAAATACCAGAAGTACACACTAAATAGTACACTACTTTTAAATTGAGTATAGAATTTGACTTTATGTATACTTTATTTTTGCAATATATTCAGACATCATGTCTATAATTGCATGAACCTCATGGTATATTGCAGTTCATATGGTGAGACAGAGACTTATTATTAGCAGGTTTGAATCCTGCCCTTGAGCTTGAGGTGCTGCTGAAAAGCATCCACGGCTCCACAGGGATGAATGACGTGAAGAGTGTAATTTTGTTGTGTTTACTGTATATGTGCAGTGACCAGAATGGCTTCTCCTGTCGCACCGTGTCTTACCAGTAGAGGGCGCCAATGACAGAGAGACGTTGCCTCTGGGCCAAAGCGCCATGACTGAGAACTTACACAGACATGTTTTTCCATTGTTATTAGCACTAATAAGGGAGTTTTTTTTTCTCCGTTATTTCTTATGGAAAAACGTGATTCGAGATACGAGCACCTCCGTCCTGGAACGGATTATGGTCGTATCTCGAAGTTCCATTGTACATCTCTGTAAACCGTGGTTTGTCTAAATGTTTTCAGACACAGAATTAGCATTCCGGAATAATAGTAAATTCTAAAAAGAAGACACATGTAAGAGCAAAAAGACTTTGTAATGAACATTTAACATTGAAAGAAAGAAAAAGTAAAAAAAATAAATAAAAAATTGAAACATCTGCAAACCGAGTAAAAAATGACATAAGGCTTGAAATGTGGGATAAAAAAAAAACCGAGTAAAAAATGACATAAGGCTTGCAATGTGGGATAAAAAAAAACAAACAAACAAAAAAACGTGATTTTTATTTCATTTTCTTTTTATTTAATTTCATTAAAGGTTAAATAGGTGAAGCTATGATGGACGGCGGTTTTCGGATCACCTTCCTAATTGCATAATTGTTGAGCCAAAGAGGTCAGAGGTCATTACTGGATAATGTTTCTCCCAATCGACCCTTTGTCTCTTTGGCTCCAAGAACCTGGGAGATGTCAGGTCCCAGTGTTGGAGGATTCATTTATTTTCCTTCTCCGTTGTTGTGAAAGGGTTCTCAGCGGTCGTTATCTGAGGAAATCACTGAACTGGAAAAAGCCGATGTTTACTGGAGCCAATTCCCGCTGTCAGGATTTGAAAGCCAGGAGCTGTGGCCTCCACTCACAAAGATGACCTTTTTAGATGCCCGTTGCAAGAGGCCAACTAAGAAAAGGTTAAAGTCTGTTTGGCTAATTCACCTTTGTCTCTCGAAAACCTTTCTCCATAATTCTTAGAGCAGATGCATTTCTAAGATTTAAGAGTCGTCTCCTCCCTGTTTCTCAGTAACAGAATCCAGTACTGCCTGGTCCTGTTAGACCAGTCCAAGTACTGTAATGTTTGGGGCCTGTTGGCCTCAGGTGGACCACAGCTGAAAACGATTTGTGACCCACCGAGTTAGAAACTGGCAGAGAATGTAAAAACACAGAACTGGTTACATTTCAAACTGCTGTACTTCTGCTCTTTATCAAATGTTTCTTCATTTGTTTTTGTTGTAAATATTTCCTTGTCTGTTTTGCTTTCACCTTTACTGACTCATTTACCTTTTATTTGGATACCTAACTGATTAATTACAGTAGATGTTTTTCCTTATTAATGACTATATTGCATTTTAAAGTTCAAATATATTTTTGATGACGACTGAATCAGTGAATAGACATCTAGGTGGAGATGAAGAAAAAAACATTTTTCTGCCGTTTACATTTACAGATTGGTTCAACTCTGGTGTCTGTACAAGGACTTACTATTGTAGCTAACTTAAGCTATGGTGCATGTAGCTAATGTTAGCGCTAGTGTCTGTACGAGGACTGTTATAGCTAGCGTAAGCGCTGGTGACTGTAACAGGACTGTTGTAGCTAACATTAGCTCTGGTGGCTGTACCAGGACTGTTGTAGCTAACATTAGCTCTGGTGGCTGTACCAGGACTGTTGTAGCTAACATTAGCTCTGGTGGCTGTACCAGGACTGTTGTAGCTAACATTAGCGCTGGCATCTGTACCAGCACTGTTGTAGCTAACATTAGCTCTGATGTCTGTACAATGACTGTTATAGCTAGCGTAAGCGCTGGTGTCTGTACCAGGACTGTTGTAGCTAACATTAGCGCTGGCGTCTGTACCAGGACTGTTGTAGCTAACATTAGCTCTGGTGCCTGGAGATTGTGCATCAGTATTATTGGTGTCAAAACTAAGGAAAGTGCGACTAAATGCATGTGTGCCTGCAAGGTCGACAAACTTCACGTCAATCAGTGCAATAAAAAGACCTATCCAAATATCTTAGATGTTTATCTTAGAACTATGCTCTGCAGACAGTCTGTTCTTGTTTTTTTTGCACATGTGACGTCTGGACGACGATCAAACCCATACTTCTGCTTGTTTTTGGTGTCGCTGGCCCCTAAAAGTGGTCCAAAACCACTGTTTCACTTCAAACGGAAAATGGCTTTGAAGACCCCAAGGGTAGTGGAACAGTAACGGGCTGAGTGATTCCGATCATAGTTCCAGATGTGCTACCATTAACTTTTAACCTATTATTAGGGTGTTGGAAAAACAGCGCAGAGATTCCTGAACCGGGCCCGTGTGTCTATGTGACTCATCTCAGCGCAGCACCACAGTTTAGACCAACATTTAGTTTAGCGGAGCTGCAGCGCATTACACAGCAGACAGCGCTCCACCTCCACAGTCATTAAGCTCAAGGTAGAATAACAAGTTTTGTTGACCTAAAGGAATCAAATCGACTTCAGATGTTCTCCTGAAAGATCATTGGTCATTTGAGGCCATAATAAGTGTGAGAGAGTCTGTTTTCATGCAGGAGTCGAATTAAATTGAGATAAAATCGTCCGCCAGGAATGTCAAACCATGGAAAATAAATTGATATCAAAACAGGCAAATAACAGTGAACGGGTCACGTTCTGGTCAGGTGACAAGAGAGGGTTTGTGAGGTGACAGTCAGCTGTAGTGATGAAACGGATCTTCCCGTAGGACTGCAAATGGAACTTTCCGTCTCTGTGACCTTTTCACCTGTAAAAAAAGACTTCAATAAATCTCATCACACGTAACAACAGGAGTTTTGGTAAAAGACCAAAAGCAAAAACGTTTTGTTGGAGGATTTAGGGGGACCTTGACCCGCAACTTTTGCCCAACTTAGTGGGCTGGAAAAAGTCCCAGTCCATAAACAGAAATCGAAGTTCAAACAGTGAGGTTAGAGCAGGTAATGGAGAACCAGACAAAGAAGTCTGATTCAAAAGTACTGAACGTGTCCGTCATCTCTCCTACTTGACCTTTCCCCCTCCCCCCCCCACACCGCTCCCTCTTTGTTCCTCTGCGATTCTGGTTCCGCCTCCAGCAAAAAAAAAAAAGAGCTAACCTAGCAATGTGGCCTCATTATCAGCTGCAGAACAAGGTACGAGGAGACTGGGATTAATGTGTCATGGGAGAAAGCATCCGCAAGTCGACGGAGTTGCTTTGAAAACACTGCAAGCGGATCAGTGGCGAAGGAGAGCGGAGTGGTAACTTTGGACGTTCTGGAAGGTTAACACCTGGAAGCAGAAAGAAGAAGAAACACAGAGTTCCACTGCACAAACAAGAAGAGAGTGTGACGGTGAGAGGGAGAGAGAGAGAGAAAGAAAGAAAGAGAAAGAGAGAGAGAGACAGAGAGAGACGGCTGGATCCACAGGTACGAAAACCATGATCAGTATAGAAGCAGACTCTGTAGTAGAAAATGGAAATCTAAAAGAAGTCGATATATTTTCTGGTGTTTTTACAGGTTTTTCCAACTCTTGTAAAAACCAAAACATTTGTGCTTTCTTGAGTTTGAAAGTCAAGTGAAGTGGAGACTGCTTTATTTGACGTGTCTCCGCCATGTGGTCATCTTGACCCAAACCTGTTAAAAATGATTCGTAAATTCCACATGTTTTCATCTTTCCATAACCTGCTGTCGATCTCTGTACTTTTTAGCCGCTTCCGCTAAAGCGGTCATACTCCAAGGTACATTTGAAATTGAAATTTTTGCTGCAGAGCTGCTCGACCGCTATATTTACTAAATCATTATAGTTCGAGTTGTGAACCTTGTTAACATATATATATTTTTTTATATTGTTTGAATGTTAGCAAACATTTTCTATATATTGTTTAAATATTCGCACCTATTTTATATGTGTAATATATATTTACAATATATATTCTTTCAATGTTGGCATACATTTTATATATATTGTTTAAATGTCACCTTATATTTTATATATATTTTTTTAATTGTCACCTTATATTTTAAATATATTGTTTTAATGTCGCCTTATATTTTATATATATTTTTTTTAATGGCAGCATATATTCTATATATTGTTTTAATGTGAGCATATATTTTATATATATATATTGTTTGAATGTGGGCATATATCTTATATATATTGTTTGAATGTGTGCAAATATTTCATATATATTGTTTGAATGTCAGCGTATATTTTCTACATTTTGTGTGAATTTTAGCATATATTTTATATATATTGTTTTAATGTTAGCATATATTTTATATATATTGTTTTAATGTTAGCATATATTTTATATATATTGTTTTAATGTTAGCATATATTTTATATATATTGTTTTAATGTTAGCATATATTTTATATATATTGTTTTAATGTTAGCATATATTTCATATATATTCTTTGAATTTCAGCATATATTTGATATATATTTTCCTTTTCTAACTTGAACTGTACTGCTGTGTTCTGTGAGGATAAAAACATTCTTCTCAGTTCTATTTTTATTTTATTTTATTTATTTATTTTTTTTGGGGGTGGCCAACAGATATTGTTTCTCTTGTCGTTTCTTTTTCTTCTGCTGTGTTCCAACTGCATCACATTTTCGCTGTGTGTTTTTATGCTGTTGCCTGTTTATGTAATTATTGTTCATTTAAAAACATTACATATTATAACACTTAATTCTTTGGTAAAACCGTCCATCATCCACAAACAATTCTAAATATTTGTATTTTATAATTTAAGGATGCACATCGGTATCTTCTGATAAAATAAAACGTTTGATATATTTTTTAGCTGCCATATATTTTAAATATATATTTTTTATTCTGTCAAAAGAGAATATATTTGTAGTGAACAAATGTATTTTCTTGTTTGAAGTGAATGAACTCACTGGTGTCGTATGTTACATTCGTTTGAGTAAATACTCATGTGAATATACATATAAATATATATATGATATATTTATTATAATTATGTTTGATGGCTGAACTTCTGTATGTGTTATATTTGACGTTAGTTCTGTTTCAGTTCTAGTATTATTCAGTGAATTCTCCTTCTTGTTTCTGTCATTGTTTGCTCTGTTTAATTTTTAAAAATTTTTTCTCACAAACGTGACATACAGTCAACGCCCGGTCAGTTGTTGGACTTTTGTATAAAAAGAAATTAGTTTTTTTTTTGCTTTTTTTACTTTTGGGTTTACACAGTGCAAACTGTTTGAACATTTAAAAAAATAAATCCTAGGATTTGAACTCAGCATCGGAGAAGAATGGGAAAAAAGTATCATATATGTATTATTCATGAGTCATTTTTAAAAAAGAATTTTTTTTCACTGATGTAAAACATCCATAGTACTCTGTCTTGTCTGTGGACTTTCTTTTTTTACTTTGAACGCAGCAAAAAAAACCGAGTTGGTTTCTGGAACTGATGCCAAAAGTCAGACACACTTTTATTTTTACATTTAATTCATAATAATACTGACAAAATTATAAATATATTTCAGAGGCAAAGACCAGCATTTTTCCGTAAATGTCTTGTTTGTTTCAGTCTGAGGACATTTGTTTAATATTAGTGGATGTTTTTTTTTTACCAATTTCAAATGTAAACAAATATATGGAGTGCAGTTTTAATCTTCAGACAGATGGGTTTTTTTTTTTGGTTTTTTTTTGTTCAACTGTGAATTTAAAGAGAGTCGTTTCTCTGTTGTTATTTTTCCCTGCATTTCTAAAAAGACACATTCACATCGATGCAATGTCATGGGAAGTCGAATAGTTCCGGTCTGCTCTCTTGTTCTTCTTCAGTGGTTTTCCATCGGAGAATTCCTTAAACACAATTTCTTTCTTTCAGGAAAAAAGAAAAAAAAAACCTCAGATTGTTCTAGATCAGGACCCGTTCACTCGAACAGACGAAAATTATGACCTATCATCAGACTTGAAAATGCTTCAATTCGAGAGTTGATCAAAGGTCACTCAGCTCGGACTGAGGACTTTCGGACTGATACGGTACCAACAAACACGGATACTTTATAGCTGAGAGTTTCGGAGGTCCGTGGTTTTGATGAAAGGTTGGCTTGTCAGTTGACTTGACCTGCAGTCAGAGGAGGTCAGGGATCTGGAGCCGATCAGGATGATTGATCATCCATTGCTCCAGTCCTCCGACCTGCTGCCTGTTCTTACAATTGCTGTTTTGTACGTACTCAACTATTGTACTTAGAGAAACTGACGCATTCACTTTTTTTTAAATCCCATTTCTAATTATATTATTACTATAATAATAATAATAATAGAGCAGATGATAACAATTACCCTGGGCAACAGCAGCATCTGCTCCCATGCTACGGGTTACACCCGTTCCCCCCCTTAGCCTATACGCGCAAACCCCTTTGTTTCTATTGCATTGATGTCTAAACCGAGATGACTCTCATCTGTAGCCTGTTTCCCTAATCCTGACTTTGGATCCCACCATTAGGCCTTAATGACCACCGACTTATTAAAGCACAGATGATTTCATTATCGCTAACTCTGACATGTCACAACTCTATCCCGTTATTTCACAACAATAACAACCCTTTAACCAAATCCTTCTTGGTTTAATTTTTTCCAAAAAACAGCAGTAAATATTTTCTCTGTGGTGTATGGTACCAATCACGGCTTAAAGACGAACAGGGGGGGAAAAAAAATGACGACAACGACCAATGGAAAAAGTTAATTTAATCACCGTTTGACCGGTCCGTCCGATGTACACGAAACACACTGTCAATATATAAATAAATACAATCACGCGTCATGTTTAAATATAAATCTTGATGCTTGTCTCCAGACCTTGCTCACAAACTCCGCGGACTTATTTTTATAGTTCTGTCAACAAAAAGTTTGTCTGCTCCGTAAAAATACTTCGTCCAATCATCTTGCAGAAGACCGGCCTCTACATCAACTGCTCCGTTGGCTGCCAACAATCGAACATCTGAAGCTGAGCTTCATCAGTGATCGATACGCTCTGCAGCTACCGGAGGGGAATCCCCCGCATCAGAAACGGAACAGGAGGGCAGCAAAAGGAGTCCGTGTCCGCTGCGATGTTGACACCTACTTGTGGTCCAAATGTGAGGCTCTAAATCGTTTGTCCCATCAACGTTTCTGCCCCTTCCGTCACCGAGTTTCCATGACTCCTGGAAAGTTTGCTCCTTAAGTGTTGCCATGGAGACTGGAAGCTGTACTTCCTGTACTCCTCATTAGGAGTAGCTTGGTGCTAAGGTGGCACAGGCATCTATTTAGGATACCCTCTCCCACCCCCCCGACATATACCCTTCGTCAGGGAGGACACCAACAGATTTAGGACATGCCGGACTGAGTACATCATCAGTGTGGGCTTTTCTCTGATTCTCAAGAGATCTGTGATCTGTGAATCGTTTTAGTCATTCGCTAATGAAGGCTACTTCGATCGGGTTGGCTCACAGAGGTGTAGATGTTTGGACATTTGGACAGTCCAGAGCTCATATCTTCCTGTTTCTTTTGTCCAGGTGAAGATGGACACTTTACTCCTGCTCTGCTGCCTGGTCCTCACCACCTCACATCACCTTCTTTGCTCCGGTCACATGGTATATGTAGCTGAACTCTCCACCGACAAGTATGTTCAGTCCAGCACGCAGTCCCAACATGTGCAGATAAACAGTCCCCCTGTGGTTGCAGTGGGTAAGTGTCCCGGGTGGCGTCTGTTTTTTTCGTAAATCCTGGTCCTGTGTGGTGTCAAGTCCGCTGATCTGACACAGGGGTTGGTCATTTCGACTCTCTCTCTTTCAGAGTTACCCAAATCAGTGAAGAACAGAAAAGGAAAGAAACAGAAAAAGGTGAGTCTTTGGTACCGGTCTGTGGGACGCGCCCCACCTTTACACCAATCGAACCCACTCTAACAATGCGGTTCTGCTTCTCTTGGATCTGAAAAACGTTTGAGCTCAAGGTTCAGGAACGGCTCAGACATCTGTGTCCGGACACAACAAAACTCCCACAATGCAATATGTTTCCCCCGGGAATCTTATCGTCCACTCACTATCACAGTTATGTCTCGAAACGTTCATAAAGCACTAGCGTCCCGTCGCGCTAACTGCGCAGAGACAGACCGGCAGGGAGGTTTGAACAGCTGACGTTGGCTCTTTTCTCGAGGTGAGAGGTGAGAGGAAACGGGTCACACTGTTTCCAGATGAGCGAAAGGAAGCAGTAACTCAGAGAATCGCTCGTGACAACGCAAAGTATGCAGACGCTTGTCGGAACAGCCAGACCAGCCAGAACACCCGAGGCATACAGTCTGGAAGCAGAGGAGCTGCTGGACACTTCATTAAGAGCGGGGGGGGGAGGGTGTTTGTTTAGTTCAAGTTTGGCCACTGTGTGACGGAAACTAAAACCCAGTTGAAGAACACACTTTTTATAAGTACTTACAGTACACACCAGAGGTGTGGACTTGAGTCTCATGACTTGGACTCGAGTCAGACTCGGGTCATCAATTTGATGACTTTAGACTCGACTTGACCAAATGTAAAGAGACTTGGAACTCGACTTGGACTCTAACATCAATGACTCGTGACTTCACTCGGACTCGAGCCCTTTGACTCGACAAGACTTGATACTTTCTCCAAAACCCAAAGATTATAAAGTAAGTTATTGAGGAGCGCTGTGTAGCTCTCATTGTGTACGTGTGCGCTGTCGGCACAACAGCCAATCAAATCAGACCCATGTTGTTTTGACGCGATAATATCGAGCCAATCAAATTGCGGGACAACCGATGAGAAACAGCTGTCGAACAATGCGCGGGTTAGAGAAAATGAGACCAAAGATCGTGTTGTTCGGATTTAAAAACTACGAGATGGTCAACAAAAAAGGAGTGGCAGTGAGTGGAAGGACTCGAAAAAGGACTCGAAACAGAAACGGCAGGACTTGGGACTTGACTTGACACTTTTCAGTCTTGACTTGGATTCGACTCGGACTTTGCCTGTTTTGACTTGAGACTTGATTCGGACTTGAGTGCAAAGACTTGAGACTTGCTTGTGACTTGCAAAGCAATGACTTGGTCCCACCTCTGGTACACACTAAATAGTACCAGTACTGACCAGGTACTATATCAGCGCAGATAGACGGTTTTCCCGACAGGAATGAAGTAGCATCATGGAACCCCCGAACGGGACTTTTTTTTTTTCGTGCCCGCCCCCCGAATTGAAATACTATTGATCGCCTCGTTATATATATATTTATCGTCTTCTACTAGGTTCAACAGGCAGTCATCTAGTGCTGCCATCTAGTGACTGAAAGCTTGTTTATCGTTCAGGCATGAATAAATATCGCATACTGAAAGTCCCGTTGCAATACCGTGATTATGTTGTTAGTATTTTGAAAAAACTCATCTTTGTAATATTTTGTCCTCCAAGAACAAATTCAAGAGGAAGCCACCGCCGCCTCCTGCGAACTGCGTCCCCCTGTGGGCAAGCTGTAAAACTGCGGGGAACGTTTGCTGCGATTCCTGCGCCTTCTGCAAGTGTCGCCTCTTCAGGACCGTGTGTTTCTGTCGAATGGGGAACCCGCAGTGCTGAACGGCCCCCTGCAGGCCAACCCGCGCCCAGGCTACGGCAGCGGCGTGGTCCAATATCAACTGCATGAAAGCACTTTAGAGGACTGCTTCGGAGGGAACGTTCCTGACATTCCACAGAGTGCAGAACATGTAGCACCGCTTTGGAACATATGGAGGAAATCTTCTTTTCTTTTTTTCTTTTTTTTTTCCACTCTGAGCTTTCAGCATGCGTTCGCAGAACTTACTGTATGTGCAAACACTTTTTGCTACAGCGTGTCGTTTTTATACAGACAAACAGAATGTGCATCGAGTCGAGACCAGAGACGAGAAGCCATATTAGAATAAAGTTATCTAACAGTCTCCTCTAACCAGCGCCAGTTTCACTCATGCACAACGAGTCACTGAAGGTAGTTATTTACCCCCAGATGGAACTCGTGGATGTGACGGCAACAGTTGCTGTTGAGGTTTTGATCTTACATGTGGTAACAGACAGATTCCAGAAATACGCAGTTATGGACTAAATCACGGACGATAAAAGCATTTTACCACGTTCTGGTTGGGATCCATTGGCCAAGAAGAAAGTTCTCAAGTTAAGGAGACAGCTATACAAATAAACGCCATGGTGATGATTCACTGTACATCCAAAAATCTCTTCAGCTTCAGTTCTGCAACACTTTGAAATTAGGAAGTACACGAATGTCTTTCTTTCTTTTCATTGTTTTTTTACGTGTTCACTGTACATCCAAAAATCTCTTCAGCTCCAGTTCTGCAACACGGAACAGCGAATGTCTTTCTTTCTTTTCATTGGTTTAACCTGTATTTTTTTTTTACTGTTTGACTGAATATACACAAAACGACCCACAACATCGTCTTTGTAAACAATCTGCACGGACATTCTAGGGTCGTAGATTTTATTTATGTCACCCTAGATGAGGAAACGTCACAAAATGTCATGGAGAAAAAGAAAAAATATTTTACCGTATTTTCCGGGCTATAAGTCGCTCTGGTGTTAAAGTCGTACTAGCCAAAAAAACATGTATAAGTCACACCAGTGCCCTCTATCGGCTGTCAGTGTGAATTATTTTCTATAGGTCACAAACCCAGCTAAGAGATGACAAAAAGTGCAATTCATAGTCCTGAAAATATGGTACTTTGGTCAACACAAAAACTGACATAATAGGAAAGGGTAAATTCTTCTTAACGTAGCACCACCTGCAGTCCATGTTCTATACTGACAAAATATCAGACTTCAGATCTACGCCCTTTCTTCATCCAAACCTCCATCCGTCTTCTAAAAAGGAGTCTTTGACACCCAGTGAGTCAGGGCTCGTGGCTGAAGATTCACTTTGATGAGACAGACTATAAAATATGCGAATTCTGGAATATTTCTCCCAGATCAAAGGTGACGTAGACTTCAGGATGGAGTCAGAGGAACTTGGACCTGTCCGTAATGGTAAACAGCTGGAGTTTTGGACCTCGTCTGTCTTTTAAACACATCCGTCTTTTCAAATCTGTTTTGAGAATAACCTACTTCTGCTTTTAGTGAAGTGGTACCCGTGTGCTTGCTCCACCTTGGCTCCACAGCGATGGGATGTTTTGGATGGAGGGGCTGTTTTGTGGTGCCCAGCATAAGTGTTTGATTTCGAAATGCATTTTTACTACATTTACTGACAATAAATGATATTATTAAATATATCAGAAATATGCCCCGATGGAGAATAAGGAGTTCGTTCTTACACCAGAACACACCCGACTTCTGTTCTTCCTCACGGTGAGATCATTCTCTCCCAGACCCTCAGAGTCCTGGTTCTGCACTTTGTCTTCCGTTCAGAACTGAACGTACGACAAACTCCACATCTTTGTTGAGTTGCTGTCGATGCGACGTGAGCGCTCTGCGTGGAATTCATCACATGTCAAACGCTGAGTGTGAGCAGCTAACAGATGTTTCCGATTCACGGCCGTGACCAAAATAAAAACACATTTTTACACGTAAAATGTGCAAATACTAAAGCGTGACTTTTTTTTTTCTTCTTTCCGTAATAAAACTTTTAGAAACAGATTAATGAATCCCCCCCTCCCCCCGCCCCCCTCGCCAAAAAAAATATTGTATTGTGTTAGATAATGCTGCGAACCTCAGTGAAGTTCTTTGGATCAGAGTTGTACTTCAAAGTGGGGGCCGCCCGGTGGACCTCAGTCCTGCTGCATGTGTCTGTGCATTTCAGCAGCAGGCGATGAGCGGCTGGGCCTGACTGTATGTTCCAGTTGTTTATGTTCCGTGTTGACAGCAGACTGCTGTTTTACTGACTACCTGTGGTGCCGACACAGCGTCGGGTCTCTCCTCTACACTACGTCTCTGTGGGAGTGTGTGTTTCTTTCCGGCTGTGTTTTCAGCTAACATCAAAAGTCTGTTTGAAGGTCAACGTCCGGCACATTAAATCTTTTACGGTATATTAGCGTTGGTGGCGCTTTGGCCCAGAGGCGATGTCTCTGTCATTGGTGTGGAACCGGTTAGGGCGGTTGGTACCTTCCAGTGGACTCACCACCCGCAGGAAGGTTCAGGGGGGTTGGTACGGTGCAATGTGATTTGGGTGGCGGTCGTGGAGACTGGTGAACCCCACGACCCGGTAACGGATAAGCGGATTAAAATGGATGCATGGATGGATGTTAGCGTTCTTGCTAACGACTGGGTTTAATCCCTGCTGTCCTTCCTCTAGCATTAGGTCACTCAGTGTGTTGTCTAGCTAATGGATGGATGGATGTGGACGAATGTTATCGGATGTGGATGGATGGATGGATGGAGTGTTTTGTGTGTAGACACCTTAACATTTCTCTGTTTATCACACATGTTCTAAAATGAGGCCTTTCTAGTATTCGAGTTTCTGTATTTGTTTCTATTTCTGTATTTGAACTGTGTGTATAACTGTGAAGTAATGTGAAGCGCTGCTGTCTACAGTCACCAAATGTCTTATCCAGGGTCTGGACCTAATGCTAAAAAAAAAAAAAACTTTATACAGTTATTCCTTTTTTAACCACAAGATAGCAGCAGTGAGCCTGTCATTTTCATTTTCATCGGACGCACCAGATGAATTGTGCAGGATTTTTTCTTAAATGAATCTGATTTGAAATCTCTCTCTCTCTTTCTCTCTCTCTGTGTGTGTGTGTGTAAGAGAGTTTCTGATAAAGCTATACTAGTCAGGACAATATTTGGGAGGGTCCTGTTGTTTTGGGGACCCTTTGTTTTACGGGGACATTTTTCAGGTCCCCACTGTGTAAGAAAGTATTTTGAGGTTAAAAGGTCAGATTGGAGTTACTGTAGGGCAATACTTATCAAATAGCCCCAAGAGTGGGGTGGACATTAGTGTACCACTGCTGTAATGATAACAAGCCTCCAGTCACTAGGTGGCAGCAACTCATACGGTGGTTTGTACAGATAAAAAAAATATTAATGTTTTCCATTTCTGTTCCCAATAGTATTTCAATTTGTGGTGGTGTAGGTTGTCGCCCCAAGGGGGAGCATGACAGCGAATAACCGAGAACCACTGCTGTAGGGTCAGGATGAAATGTCCTTAACAGTTGAGGTTAGAATAGAATTAACTTTAACATCTATTACTATTACTGACAAATCCCCCGCAGCGCACAAAAACCCGAGTGTGTGTGTGTTGTGTGTGAGACAATGTATATGACATGTGTAGTCACCGTCAACAGAGCAGTTGTGCAAGTCAACAATCCATTCCCTTGTCTTTTTTTACTGGGGACATAGTGCAAGACAATGGACAATGGCAACAGTGACAAGGTGTGACATAATATGGGGTTATGAATGTGCCAAGAAACTACTTAGGAGAAGGTGACTAGAGCGAGATAACAGATGAACTCCCTCACACACACACACACTCTCACAGTACATGACAGTGAGTTATGAAAACAGCGGTACACCTGCACGAAATCATTGATTTGGTAAGATTAGAGTCAGTACCAGGTCAATGACCAACTCTTGGACTGAGGTCAGATGAAGAACAGACACTGGGGACGTGTGACGTGCCAAAGATTAATGATTTGTAGTGAATCAGAACCCAAAACCCAGTTGTTTTTTTCCTTTTGCTGCGTAAATTTTGAAATTTTGTTTTGATTTTCCAGCATCGCGGTTAATCAGATGTGAGGATATAGGATCATACCATTATGTGTAAACAGAGAGGGGGCGCTGTGAAGTGGACCTCCCTAAATTTCTTCTCTGTATAATACATAGGTACCCAAAGCCTGGGTCGCGACCCTCAGGTGTGTCGCAAGAGGTTTTTTTTGGGGTCATCTTGGGGAGTTTACGAATAATGTCTATTGTCTTGGGTCGCGAAGGTTTGTGACTTTTAGAATACGGGTCGCCGGAAAAAAATGTTTGGGAAACACTGGTCTAATAGACAGACAGAGAGCAGAGAGCCTCGTGTAGATGCGTATTGAAACTATGAGTGACAACCCGAAAGCGAAGCAGCATCTGGCTGCAGTTTAAAGGTAACAACAAAGCAGAGTGCCTTCACTGCCAAATGAAAATAACTTTAAGAGCAGGTTCCACCACAAACCTGCAGTCAGTGCAGATAGAGAAGAGAGGGCAAAACAACAGCGACTGCAGCACCATCTACTGGCTTCCCCACACATGCAAGTATAACCTCTCGTACAGCAACTCCTACTGTGGATATTATTTGCAGTTTTGTTGTTAATTTGTGCAATCAAATGTTTGATTAAAATATATGTATATATTGTGCAATAAAATGTTTGATTAAAATATATATGTATACACTGCACTTGAAAGGGTTTTCAACACACAAACCATTCATTTTGGCGAAAATTATGGTCAAATAAAGGCCTACAAAAAAATCCTAAATTAAGAGCCGTTCAGGAGTCGAAAGAGCCGGATCTTCTTTGGGAGCCGAGCCAAAAAAAGCCGGCCCTTTTATAAGAGCCGAAAAGAGCCGAACTTCCCAGCACTAACAGATTAGAATATTATATTAGAATAAATGAACAAATGAATGAATAAATAGCTGTTTGTTTTTTTCAGAAAGACTTATTTCAAGCTCTCGTCTTTTCGTTGTATGCATTCTGATCTAAAAAATAGTTTTATAAGAGTAATATTGCCCAGGAGGTATACAGCCGTTTTCCCCAATACTATTTTTACACACATAATTTGGCAAAACTCAGGTATCGCGTTATCGGGTTTTTATTATCAGAGTAAAAAAAAACCCGATAATGATCCTTACAGGTATTACATAATTATGCTAATATCGAACCGGTTATATTGGTTGTCCGATATTATCGGACATTGCTAGTTTAAACTCGCTAATTAGCAAATACTGTTCTTTTGTTGTTGTTGTTTGAGTAGACAAAAGTCTCCAGTTGTCTCTGTCCACACAACATCCACACAGTTGAGCAAGTTTGCCATGTGACCAACACACCCTGTCGACAGTGTCCACACACACAGACACACACACACACACACACACGCCTCTTGTCGGTTTTTTTTTATGCAGCCCGACAGCCTCACTCCTCACTTCCACGCCGTGGAAAGCCCCAGGTTTAGCAACATCCCAGGTGTAGAAGTGCAATGAGGGGTGGAGAGAAAGAGAGAGAAAGAGAGAGAGAGACACACAGAGAGTAAATGAGATGTGATGAAATTATTTTCCTGTCAGACTCCAGGCACCGAAAGCCGGTGCCAGAAAAAACCTGCGGCGCTGCATTCCACACTGAGCTCCTTTTCTTCTCACACGTCAGTGTAGCGGGGCCTGGGTGATGTTGTGAAATTCGGGGGAAAAAAATCTCCATTCATTACTCTGTGAAACAAAGTTCAACGGACTGCGAGGGATTAAGGTGTCAATATTTGAATAAAGTCATCTGAAGTTTTTTTTAATCTTAGCTTTATGAAAACTCAAAAAAAAATCAATGAATGTCAGATTTGAGACAAATCTTTATATATATTATGTGTATTCTGGGAACAGCGGTGGATTAATGATTAAGGAAGTGGACTTGGGTGCGCAGGGTTTCAGGTTCAAGTCCACCAGCTGCCAAGTTACCACTCAGGTCCTTTGAGCATGGCACCGTCCCCTCACACTGCTCCCCCGAATTCTGGACCAAGGTCTGGACAGAAGTCTTTGAAAAGACCTGCAGATGAAGTAGAGCTGGACACTTTTAGGTTTTGAGAATTGCTGAATAAACTATTCTAGAACACTCCGCCTGAGCTGACTCCAGCTCAAAATGTGATACATTTCAAGTTCATCTGACCACATGGTGTCAAAGCCGTGGTATCACTCGGTGACCTCATGACCCGTCCCACGTTGTTCTACTCAAATATACCTTCCGGAGAGCGGGTTATGTGAAAGCGGCACTGTATCGGTTATCGGTTCCAGAAAGAGAGGTAACTTACCCCAAGTCAGTCACCATGGTAACAGACTCTTACCATGACTTGTAGGTTTACTTGAAGAAACCCTGAATGTCTACCTGTCTCCTCCAACATGAAGAACGCTGTTAAACGTGGATCGTCCATTCATTCTCAATATTTCTTTGCTTTCTACGTCTACGTGAGAAAATCCTTGCGACCCAGATTAGACAGCCCTGTAGTTTATCGCTTATCAGTTTGATTTATCTCAACAACATTCTCTGCTCATACATCATCAACTTCACACGCTGCGGGTGTGCGCTCACATCACAACAAATCGAATGTTTGGCGCTAGAGGAATGATTGTGGACACTTTAGAATGACTTTGATTAAGTTTCAAATAAAAATGTGTAAACATTGAGTCGAGTGTTGATCCTCTAAGTGGGGTATTAAGTGAACGGTCGAGTTAACACGAGATTTTGTTCGTAGTTTAAATTACTATTTGAAGTTGATATGTGCTTTGTTGTAGCGCTTTGGCCCAGAGGCAATGTCTCTGTCATTGGTGTGGAACCCCAGGGTTCACCTCCTGGACAAGTTCAAATCCCGGTTAGGACGGTTGGTACCTTCCAGTGGACTCACCACCCGCAGGAAGGTTTAGGTACGGTGCAATGTGATTTGGGTGGCGACTGCTGGCCCCGCGACCCGGTAACGGATAAGCGGATGAAAATGGATGGAAATGGATGGATTTACTTTGTTCAATAGCCTAAGTCAGTTAATCCAAAATGAGCTTTAATCATTTTTTTAATCATCAAAAAGTTTGCTTTTTTCCCCATTGGATTGCATGTAAATGAAAATTCAATTTGATTTTATTATTATATTTATTCTCTATTCTATTCTTTTTCTCTGTCTCGCCCCGGGGGAAAAAAACACGGTCCGTGATGAGTTTCTTCACAGGTGACTCACCTGAATGTGTTCACAGAACAGACTAACGCTCACGCCCCCCCCTCCCCACTCCGGGGCCATCTCCGTCAACTCAGCTGCACCGAATGACTGCTGCACCCACGTCGTTCCTGTGTGTGACGCGTTAACCATTAGCATTAGCCGTCAGTCACAGCTGTGGAGAATCGTTTCAGACTGCGTTTCAGCGGAGCATTCTCGGTGAAGTCGACGTTCGAGAACTAGTTGGATTCGTACCTTATCGTCAGAAATGCAGAATAAAATGATTTAAAAAAAAAAAAAAAACAAAACCTGAAACATCAAAAAGACCAAATTAGTTTTGTCATCTTTGGTTTATGTCGCCGCCCAGTGTTTATCACTTATCGGATGTCGGATGGTTTACAGGCGGTTCCTGAGCTGAAGGCCCAGGTACTTTGCCCCAGCATAGAACACACACATTTTATTCGCGTTTATAAGGATGTCTATGTATTTATATACATATATTTGTATATTAAAATCGAACACAGATGCCCTGACATAAAGATGGGTCAGATGTTGATGTTTAGGTCATGGTTTATTGTTATTTAAAACCATAACAATATGTGACAAATTATAGTTCTGGTCAGGAATGTGACCTTTCAGCGGCATGGAGCTATGACATCATCATCTACCTGCTCCTGTCTGACCACTGTGTGTGTGCGTCCACACCTGCTGTACTTCACCGACAAACTGACAGATTTGTCTTGATGTGTCGGTCCGCAACCACTGTGTGTCAGCGGTGAGTAGCGTCTGCCGCCGCACCTGTTCCCAGCGTAATGGGACACCTCCAGGACTGTTGAGGTCCGTACTTGAAGCTAGTTTCATGTTGGATCACAGTGAGACCATCGGCACCTGCATACCTTTGGTCATCAGGGGGGAAAAAAAAAAAAGATCTCTATTATCAACACGTGTCAAACTCGTTCTACCGTTCACTGAAACAAAGCCTGATCTAAGTTTGACATTATAATAACAAACTAACATAGGCAGCGGTGCGTGGACTTTAGCTGAGTTGTTGTCCATGTTTGGTCGGGACTGCGGTGTGACGGTGACATGATTTCGTGTGGCCACTCCATCCACGGGCTGCATGATTGAAGATAAGGTTGGTTACAGCCTCTGTTAGTCAGAGTCTCAAGGTCAACACAGAGGCACTTAACCAAGAGGCTGACTTCACTCGACAAACACTGTGTGTTGTCCTGAACAATCAGGACTATATATATATATATATATATATACATATATATA